AAAGCCCGGCTTCCGCGATCGACGTTGTTTTGGTGGTTTATTTTGTCGGTTTTTGTGTGATGTTTTGACGCTTTTTGGGACGGTTGTTGGTCACTTCAAAAATGGACAGTACACATTGCTACATTGTTGATTGTGGGATTATGTATGTATACGCTAACTGTACCGCACGTCACAGTCATCGTACCCACGCATTCATATACACCGTTATTCTTATATCTCGTCGTTCTACACCGGGTGTGTCATACATCCTGCAACATAAAAGATACGGATTTTTAGTCGATACTGACAGAAAACGCATATTATATCCTTTTCTCTTCGCCTTTGTAGGACCTCGAATACGAATTGTGTGAATTGGATAGTAATTATTTGGCTGACACATTTACCAAGTTGGTGCGTTTTTTCAGAAGGGCGTCGGACGTTCTGTAAGTTCTCGTTATATTTCATTTTCTCCCCTCGATGTTACCAGTCAATTCATGGTTTTGTTTCACAACTGTGATCTCCCACAACCGTCGTTACGTATGTATGGTCTGTACTGTATGGCAGTTACAGTAATTATTTGTTGGTGTGGAGCCAACAAACTGCAGTATACCCAAACTCATCATGACTCCGTGGACTGAGTTTCAAGGGTCACCAACAAACCACCCTTCAAAGAAACAGCCATACTTGTGACCCATGTATTTCATCATATTTTTATACTCAACAAAAAAACTACAAATTCACACGATCATGTCAAACAGTCAACAGTATCCCACCTTGAAATCACAAGCCAGTGGAGAAAATACTATACAAACTAATAATGGGGAAGCCATGTTGTTTTGATTGTGGGACAATTCGAAGTCAATGACATGGTTATAGAAATCTTAACACTAGAACAGAACCAGTCAGATTCTGAATTTTCTACCATCTCAGCTAGCTCACCCACTGTGTGTAAATATCAAATATTCTATTTGTGATGGTATCATGGCAATCTGAGACAGAAACCACTTTCTTGACCTTGGCAGAGTTTTTTTTTTCGTTGGGTGCCCAAACTGAAGCTAAATAGTATCTAGTATTTATATTCATAGCTGTTGTCTAAGTCGCCATAGATGCATTAGTTTGTAGTGCTTGTGTTTTTTTTCCCGGTTGAACTTTTTACCTTTCCAACAATTCGTCTTATATGTGATATTTTACTTGACTAATATTAAATTGGTTGTTCGAATATAAATAAATTTGATGTGCTATGGTGAGCGGCTATTATAGCAAGCAGGATATAAAATACTTTGAGAATAAATGTAGTTATTCAAATAGACAATTGAAATTCATTATTTAATTAAGCAACAAACATATTACAAATTATTTAAATAATCAAGACATCTCTGAATTTTTTGCTTGTTTGAAAATTTTCATTCAAATCTATTTTCAGTTTTGAAATTCATTTTTATACCTTGATCACAGAGGTTTAAATTTCTATAGTACAATGTGTCGTTTATTCTTGTTTTGGTACTTGACATTCAGACCTGATTCAGATTGCATGTTGGTTTAGTTTTGATAATCACATATAAAACCATTAGGTTATCATCACACTGATTGTGGGAGTTACGTTGCTTTCCATGCAGGGGTGGACAATAAGTGTAGTCCTATAGCGTGGAACAAGTAAAATGCTTATCTGGAAACCGAAACTGTAACTGTAAAACGTTTAATTTTTACTTCTAGACTTGCGAAATTCAAGAAAATTTGTCTTAGTAATTAAAGAAGTTTATAATAAACATATAGGCAAACATACATTTCGGACAAGATAGTTTATAAGTTAATGTCAAGCCTTTGTTCGTAAATATGACAAGTTCTGAATATTAGATATTGGAATAAAAAACACATTAACTCAAACTCAACAGGACAGTACTGATGCAATGCGAATTTGATCATCAAGAGTAACCCTTCAACTGACCGCTACATGGGTAATATTGTAAGGATGGTTTTCCAAGTAAGTTGGATTTATGTCGGTGAACTTTGTAGAACTTACCTAAACACAAATACTTAAAATGGAAACTGTAGCTCTATGTAGTTTATGTCCAAGTAGTAACGCTGTTGCGCTTTCTTGTAAATCAGTAGCAGATTTTTTTTCCTCCTATATGTACTGCATTTTCAGGTTTGAGGTCAAATCTCAATGTCATTCAACCTCTGAACACTGTATTTTTCCCGTCCAAATTTTAGTGGCACATTTTGCAAATTTTTATAATCTTCTTTATTTTTTTGTTACTTTTAAAACAAAAGAACATAATTCCCTAACCAAACTTTTTAAAAAAACAAAGCTATGCAGATTGGCAGTTCAGTGGTTACATCTTGTTGTAGTAGATTATATTTGTAAACAGAGAAAGCGCATAATAGCGTTTGTTTCAAAAGATGTCACTCTGTATCACAGAATTTAACTATTCATGAAAATGTTTGAATCATACAAAAAACAATAAACGAAAACTAAAATAGCAACAGACGTAACTGTTATGGTTTTAAAAAAGAATATCTCTCAGGTTTTGTACAGGCAATAAACTTCCTTCGAAATTGACAAGTCACCGAGAAGTCACAGCAAAGTAATGCAGTTGGGATTTAAAATGTCTTTATCATCATCTACACACTTTGTCCTCGTTTGGTCACTTTCCCTTGCTGTATGACGTCGATAATTACATCATCACAAGAGCAATGAGCAAGAGCAAGAGCAATGTTAAATTAACGCAATTTGTCCTGATAACTATTTTGAACAATCGTACGGTCTTCGCTAGAATTTGTCACCGATCTACTTACTGGGTCTCTGAAGTTTTAGGGCAACAAGTTAGCAAACAGACTTGACAATTTAAACAGTCCTGTAGAACCTTATAAACATGATTGAAATATGTTTTTCTTTCTTTTAGAGATTACTACATTTGATGGTGACACAATAGTCAAATTGTACATCATCTGCTTGTAGTCAAAACTAAAGTTGTTGGTGGGTAAGCGAGTAAGCGAGTAAAGATGGCTTGCTGCCTCAATACTTCTGAGACTTGCTGTAAAGTAGCACCAGTTGCCTATTTTTTTAAACCGTATACTGCTGATCCAAAATTACCTTTGTAATGCCAAAATATGTAAACACGTGTTGAGATGTCATGTAAAACATGGTATACATTTATGGGTAATAATTCATTCCCTGGCTGTCTAGGTGCAGTTCGCATCTACGTACAACGTGTTACTTGTGTGTGTGTTCATTGGGTAACTAGCTAAGATTAGTTTAGCTCTGTATTAAAAAAATGTGTTTCCGATCCCATGTGCTCTTCATTTCTACATATGTACTAGTAGTAATAAATGTATTTAATATTATTCAAGTATATGTAGCAAAAATAATGGCTAAAAAACAATAATATTTTTTGCCCTATTAGCAATATTTATCTAATAGTTTATTATTTGTTTCCTCAAGTTAGTAATAAAATAATGTTAAGAATGTAGTATACAATAATGTTGCGAATAGTTTTCAAAATACGGCCAAAAAGTCAGCCGTGTTACCCTTGAATTGTCAAGTTACCAATATAATTCTTTCTGTCCATAAGTAAATTAGTTATTACCTGGTATGTGTGATGTTGGGAATGTCATACATGTATGACCTGCATTTATTTGCAAGCACAATGACTTAAAAAAATAGTAGTAATGTTAACTATAGAAATGAGTAAAATCATGGATGTACAACTGTGGTATATTTGTGTCTATTTTCCCCATTTTTAGTCGCAGGTACCACCATAAGTAATCTTTTACCAATTTTTGATTTGACAAATGACAAAATTAAATTAATATTATCGTCTGAGGTGTGTACAGAAGCAAGTTACTACAGTTTAACACTTCAGACACCATTGTAGGAAATAATTTCATACAGTCTGCTTCACACCATGTGTAACGTTGATAAAAATTGACAAACCTTTTGATCAAAAACTAAAAGCAGTATTTGAAACTGTCTTTATGCTCCAAAATGATGAGGAAATTTAGTGTCAATTTTCAAAGTGTGAAAATATTTGCACTGAACCTTAGGTGTGAACAAATATCTGGAAATGTGCAGTTTATTCATGCAAAAGTGTGAAAACTGCGATGATTCGCTAAACTTAAATAGATACTATATATCAATTTTGAGAACTTAAATCGAGCTAGAAACAGTAATGCACTGTGATGTAGTAGGTGTTGCATGGAAGTACATGCTCACTTAATTCGAACACATGATGCCCAACAGCCGTTCTATGTTTGCCACAGTTACATGTCAATGTTCTTTCTCGTCGCTAGTGTCTCTGATCTAACAGATTTCAGAATCCCTGTTGAATAATTTGTTGTCGTCAACTTACTTTGGTACAATTTAAATTCAACAGTGTGCGTAGTTGTTAGTTTAAGAAAGTGTGTCAGTGTTTCCTCTCATTTAAGTGAATCTCTGTGTTCTGAATTATGCATTCTATCTGCTATTGTCAAATACTTTATATTTTCACTGATGGGATGATTCAGTGAAAATATTATCATGTGAGTGTATTTTCTATATTTTACATTCAACTTGTCAAAAATCAGCAAAAACTAATTCCAGCTAATACAAAATATTAATTTTAATTTGTTTGCCAAGATTTTGATGCAACATTTCTACAAATGCAAATTTCTACATGATTTTGTAGAATTTTGGTTAATTTTATTCCAAATAGATAAAAATTGATGTTGCCTCGACAACAACGTTTGAGTCATCTTCTGTGCTTAAGATGTTTGCAGTCAACAATATTTTATCCTGTATTTACACCAATTTCTTATTGAAGGGCATCTATAAACCATAAAGTTATATTTTGTCAGCTTTATGTGCATGTCAACGTGACACGTGCCATGTAATGCCTGAATATGCCAGTGGAGAGTAAATATGATATCGTGTCATTCCATGCTTTATTCCTGGTTCTTTCTATAATAATCTCTTGTAATGCTGTGCATCATCTTGCATTGACTGCATAGTCCACCATTTTCAGGGTCATTTACAGAAATTTCACTTGGCTATGAAACCATTGTTTATCTTTGAATGCCATGATTTTTATGGCAAAAATTTTTGTTACAACATTTCGATGATTCTTAATGTATTTTTGTAAATGTTTTACCAAGTGTGTGCATCACTTCTCAGTGACTGTTTATCAAAATTTAGAGAGAAAAAAATCTGAAAAATATTAAACAAAGGCGACTTTGGCGGTTAATGAATTATCAACTAGCAGTGAAAGAAATGTTCAGTTAATGGTAAAACAGTAGGTAACAGGGAAGATATTGATACCAAATTTATAACTTGAATATGCATTTTTAAACACTAAATGCAAAACTTGTAATCACTAACCTCTAGCCTAATTAATATTTTTTGAAACAAATTTATTGTTATTAATATCTCCGATTCTGAAAAATAAATTGCTAAATGTGACAAAGAGAG